AGTTACAATCAATGTGTGATGACAAATAGTCTCAGGGTTGGGTTTGCATTCTTCTAAATATATTGGTATTTGTAAGCTGGAAAAGATAGATGTAATCAACCACCCTCAAACAAAAGTAGGAAGACTATTCTGGCAAAATGTTCAAACCACATTAAGCCCTAATTTGAAATGATGTTTGAAAGAAAGCAATGCAACCAGGACCAATTTATTTGTATAGCAACTAAAAACTGAACTCACTAGACATATTTAAGAGATGGAAACAATTAAATGCATTTGTTTTCTAAACAGACCAAGTATATTAAAAACTTGGAAGGTAAAAACAAAACCAGTTTTACTAGACATTATTATTGGTTGCTGTGCAATACTTAAATAATTTATCTAATGGCCTTCAGAGGTTGTTCTAATAAAACATGCTATTTTTCAGAGTAAACAATCTGTTTAATTTCACATTATCAATATATTATAGAGTTTCACTCTAATTAGCATATGGAAGGAAGTAGCTCTGAGGAAGTGTGGAACAATTTAAATAAAATGTCATTTTATTGGGAAGGGGGGCATTATTTGTTTTTCAGAGAAGACACATTTTGATGCTCTCTCCTTTGTATTGAAATCAAGTTTCTATGGTATTCTGGTAAAAATTATGTGATTTCTTTTGGGTACATAGCTAGACATCAAAGGCACTTCAGCTGAAGATAACAATTGTTTAGGCTCCAAAAGGATTGAAATAATGACATTTTTTATCCAGAATAATATCCTGCCCCAAATGTGGGATGGCCAGAGACCAGCATATCATCAAGTCTTTGGCTAATATGTATACCCTGACCACTCAATCAAGGAGAGTTTCTGTAAGACCAAGTGTCCTAGACTCTTTGACGCCTTCTCCCTAGGCCAAGCCTGGCTAAGAGAGGTGGCTCTTTACACACCATAATGAAGCACAGGTCCCAGAGGGCAGCACTGCCAAGGCCCCAATGAAGTTGGCCAATAATTGATGCTACAGAGCATTGAAAACAGGATGGGGCCCTTCTCAATTCTCCTCCACATCACTTGTTTGTAGAAGAGTCTGATGAACATATGAATGAATAACTATCAAGAGAAAATTTTTTTTCCATAAAGATCACACATCAGTAGCAAACATACCTAAGGCCTTCCCTTGCATGGATGACACAGGAAAGACTGGTAGGGAGAAAACTTGCTGATTTTTTAATCTTATTATTGCATAACTCCCTAGTACTCAAAGGCTCTTCTCAGGGCTTATTTACTTTATGTAGAAACACTAACAATTCAAGTACACAGCATTTTTCTAACACTAGTTGCTCCTCCTAGAAATTCATCTAGGATTAGGAGACTATATTTAACTTTGACATCATGCCTGTTCAAGCTGCTGAGAAAAGAGTTAAGGAAATTCTGCTGATAACTGCACTCAGCCTCAAGATATTTAAGAGGTTAAAAGACTGGTGAGACAACTAAAGCATGATTGAAACACCATGTCTAACAGATTGCTTCACTCTATACCAGTGTAAGATTTCATATCTAGCAAGTCTAAAGCACATTCTAATTGGGCTAAAAACCAATGAATGCTTCAGATACTATAACTGTAATCATACAGCATTTCAACTAAAATATTTGAAGATTTCAAGTGTTTCTTCTACTGAACATGTACACTAAGAATTAAAATATAAAAATACATGTAATTAAAATACATTTACACTTATTTATGTAAAATTGAACTTGTCCAGAACAACTCTGTAACACACAGAATAAAAAAGTTGAAAAACATTTTGAAAAGATGAGTCCTTTTAAAAACAGTTGAAATTATTGAGCAGAGATAGTCATAAAACTTACATCAGTCAGCAAACACTGAGTGACCATATGTTATAGGTAAGACATTGTGTTTCAAGTATCACAGCACACAACGTACAACCTCTCACTTCTACCCATCTCAAGGATGCACTTGGCACAGACCTATGTCCTAGCTAGAGTAGCTAATCTTTAAGTAGCCTACTATTAATTAGAGTTTTGAGAGTAGTAAGAGCTATCTTACCATGCCTATACATTTGTCTCGTGTGCATCTCACAACACACAAGATACACTGGTATTAAGGCATAAGTTACATTCTCTAACTTCAGGATTACATTTTTTAGGTCCTCAGACACACTATTGGAAGCCCTTCCTAGGCAGACCTTTCCAAACTAACCAGAACATATCCTTTTAATAAAAAATAATAGCTATGTTCTCATTTTCAAAGTTTGCGATTAAAACCTACAGTGAAAGAATCCAGCTGAGAAGAAATTTCCTTTTGGTTCAAAAACAAAAAATAATAATGTCATTAAATTTATCGGAACAATATGAAATGAAGATGTTGTTGTTGGGTCCTTCACTTATAATGGAAACCAAATAGGCTTGCTGGCTTAGTTAAATCCATAAATTATTCGTCATGTAACATTTCAACAATCATTTTAAACATATAAAAATTAAGGTACAAAAGCAAATCCCACACTCAATGATAATCAAACTAAACAATTACACATCTTTTTGCATGTGATTTCAAAGAAAACCACATAATCTCACATATTGCTTTTACATATTTTAAGCATGGCAGGATAGTGTTTCAAAACATAACGTGTAGTATTGGGTCCCATTCCAACTGCCGTTTCATTCTTTGACATGGCAGCTTAGTTTGCTAATCTTGGCTTATACTTTTAAAAACAACTTACTACAACTATACGTGATAGCATTTTATCCTTCTCACAGTTTACAACCTAAAAAGTGCACTGGTAAATTGCTTTTGTTACTGACAAAGGGTACTGTTAGTTATTTTATTTTTCAACGTGGAGCTGAAAGGTACATGAATCATCCTTTTGAAACTTGGAACGCAGGCAAAACAGTGGATGTGAATGGAGGCTAAGTAAATAATTCCTCTCATCATCTAAACTTTTTTTCACGGCATTAGCCCTGGAAAAAGTCACTTTCTTAGCAGTAGCCTAATGCTCTAAAAAAAAGAAATGGTGAAAAATTTATTCCCAGAGAGAAGTTTATTTACCATAAGATGTGGCTCAGTGAAGTGTTTTGTGTTCTGGAAATGTAAAGTTAATTCTTCCTGTCAAAGCCTTAGGAGAACAGGCACATCGTAAACATAGTTTTGCATTTTAGAGCTGGCTGTCGTTTTGTTTTAGAAGGGGGTTGTTTCTATGTGTTCCATAAATGGGCATTCTTGGATGTGCAGAAATGAGAACAAGTAATGTAATAGTATCTTTGTATGACAGATCTAATATAACATATATTAGAGCACTCTTTCATTCTCCATATGGAATTACAAAGGGGAGTGAGGGTAGAAAATGAAATCCCAAGAGATGAAATTGAATTTAGCTAAAGTGATGCTTCTTTATGAAGAATATTAAACTCCTTCAAAGCGTTAAGTCAGAGCCGAGGCTCAATACTGCCATCTCCTCCTTAGAATGCTGAAATACAAGAGAAAATCTCAGGATAAAAATACAGAATAACAATGCAAAAAGAAGTGGCTACTGGACCCATAAAATTCACCAAACACATAATTTTTGTTTGTCAATTTTGAAGGAAGGTCCAATCACTACGATAGTATATATGCTCTATTAAATTAACAAATATTTTAAACTACAAAATGATTAATATTTTTTGTGGATTTTCCCCTCCCCAACAAAGGGGAAATATAGAGCTAGCTTATTCATTTTCTTATTGATAAGAGTCCAACTTATTTTTCTTATTTGGAATATATTTAAGGGTTGAGACAACTACTAAGGCAGTCAAAATCAGCCTCGAATTCAGGCGGAGTAATTCACTGAACTACATTTTACGGCTCTTCATTCTCTGACTCTAACGGTTTCCTTACCTAGTAATTGATACCCGAAGATCCACCATTGCTATACTTTTTTTTTAAACTTAAAGCTTTAAGTTCTATTAAAATGCAAATAGCAGTAAATGTGCAATGTGTTATCAACTACATAGATCTCACTTTAGGTTGACAGTAAGTTCCTGGACAGTGACAGCTGATACCTCTTCTCCCAGAATAATTATTCAAAACTCCACTTTCTCAATCTTGGTCAATGATATGATTACCCTAGTGGGAGGCCCTTCTTGAGGGTATGATTTAGCAGAAGAGAGGAGACCATGGTGGCAAACAGGAGGCCACCACCAAACTGAGTGGGTTGAGAGAAGTGGGATGGGAATGTTAAGGGGAAGAGTGCCTCTCGGGGAATTAGTTCAGGGTTATATTTATGGGATTAAGGGGCAAAACCCTTGTAGCATGAAATGCAACACGATCTTAATTGACTATAGTAAGAACTGTGTGTAGCTAATACAGATGTTGAAGCACTGACTTGTCGAGCAATTTATCTTTTTCCAAAGAACAAATATGCTAGTTTGGGATCCCTCATTTCCAAATTGAATCCATTACTACTGTAGGCATTTTTTTTTTTTTATCCTCACCCGAGGACATTTTTTCATTTTTGGTTCAGATAGAGTGGGAGGGAGAGAGAGAGAGAGAAACATCGATGTGAAAGGGACACATCGAGTGGTTGCCACCTGCGCGACCCAACCAGGACCGGGGACAAACTGCAACCGAGATACACGCCCTTAGCGGGAACCAAACCCGGGTCTCTCTGGACCGCAGGCTGACGCTCTAACCACTGAGCAAAACCAGCCAGGGCCATTTTTCAGATCCAAAGCAAAGAGAAATGAATTGATTCCAAATCAGCCTGAGAGTCAGGCTCGGGGGACACTGTTCCACGTTTGCACTCTCACTGTGTTTAGCAAAACACCTTTTCTCCCTCTGGTATAGTGACATCTATGAGAGAAGCCTAGAAGGGACCAGGACAGTTACCTTCCTGCCAGCTGTTGGACAGGTTACTACTCATTGACAGAAGAGTCCTGTTGACCTGACTAATACACAAAAGCCCACATCCTTAGAGGTGGAGTTTAAATGCAAAAGGGCTGCTGACCCAATGGGAGACAGAGGGTGTACTCACTTTTACAGGGTAGTCATAAGGGACCGATGCTCTAACGACATAAGTGGTAGAAGGAGATTCAATGTTCAGACTTTAGAAATAGGAAATAAGATAGGAACATTTCTATGAATCAAACAAATGAAGAACACACTTAACATTAGCTACAAAAATTAGAATAAAATTTAACCACAAAAATATAATAATATGATAATGTTTTTATACCTTCCAAATTCAGTTATTCAATACTTAAGTAAGTTTTTTTTTTTTTTTTAAGTAACTCAACTATGAAATAAATCAACTTAAGACAAGTTTCCCCTTCCTTTAATATCTAGGAATTTTTATATAAAAGTTACTGGAGCAAATTATCTCCTCACCTACCACTTCCAAGTTTAATCTGTCTTTTAAACATTTGGGCTTCAGACCTTTTAATGAGAAGCATATATTTTACACGCATTTAATGTCATTTGAACAAATCTGTCTTGGAAACGTATCATGAAATGTATTACAAAAAGTAAAAATGATAAATGTTTTTAAATGACCAAAGGGGAAATATTTAGCAACACTGCCTTTAGCTCTCTGAGAAAGCAGTGCCTATTTTAAGTCTCGGATTTCATCCAGAGTTAGAAACAAAGACCACCAAGCACACAGGTGAGGCCACTGATGCAGCAGAAGGAGCACCAGGTCCCTTGGTCCCCTGAAGAAAAAGACTACAATGTCTGCCATTCCTCAAGTTTCATCACCAGGTATGTTGGCTCAATTGTGGGGGGAAAACAGTCAAGGGGAAACATGTAGACTAGGCCGAGCATGTCTATTACCTTCTTCTTCGTGTTCATGAGTGGCAGCCTTAACACTGGCAGGCCCAACAATAATAATAAGAGAATACAATACAGACGTTTCTCCAACTACAAATCAGTAGAAAAAATATATATATGCTGCATCTTGAAGAGTAAAAATATCCACACTGGTATAAGCACTGCCAGCCTCATCCTTCTATTATTTCCTCTCTTAAGGGGAAAACTGAAAGAGCTATGTGGGTGTTACAGAACTGAGGTCACTCGCTAAATGAGGATGGGACAGTCTGAAACTAATAAAAGAGCCAAATAAACATTTCTTTGCGAAATATATTATGGGCAAGGCCTTTTAATCTTAGTGACTTCAGGAAATGCCCAAAGGGCATACTGACGGTGACCATGCACCCTTTAATAGTGACTTCAGACTTTCTCAGAACTCTAGACCACTTGTGCTGGGCAAAAAGTTTAAGGACCACATTTGCTCCTAGATACAGCTCATGAAAATTACTGAAAAGAGTAGCCCTAATTTACATGATACTCTACGGGAGTGATCGTGTCTTCGGTTCTTTGGTCCTTCCTTTTGGCTGATTACATGATGGGGCATGATATTTACCCAGCGGTCAGTTGTATCAACATGAGCTCAATTAATTTAAAACTCCTAATCTCACTGACCTACTGGGTGGGAATAAAATTGCCTGTAAATGCAAATAGTAGAGGAAACTGTAAAAAGAGCAAGAGAGGCACATAATTTACAATATGTGGATGCCAGCATGTAATCCATTCTAAGGAAAAAAGTACTGACTTCATGACATACCAGGAGTGAGGAATTCACACTGTAGAAACTGACCCCCTTCCTTAAACCCCATCTCGTCTCGTGGTCCAATCTCTCTAACAAGAACCAGCTCAAAAAGTCATGTTCTTCATTAAGTGTCCCCAAATGCCCAGAGACAGGAGTAAACTCTTCAGATTTCTACTGACAACAGTTTCTCTTTCTATCCCCTTCATCATTTTTTTTTTAATCCTCACCCGAGGACATTTTCTTTTTTTTGATATTTTGTTCAGATAGAGTGGGAGGGAGAGAGAAAGAGAAAAACATCGACGTGAAAGGGACACATCGAGTGGTTGCCATCCACACAACCCAACCAGGGCCGGGGACAAACTGCAACCGAGGTACATGCCCTTAGTGGGAACCGAACCCGGGTCTCTCGGGACTGCAGGCTGATGCTCTAACCGCTGAGCCAAACCAGCCAGGGCCCCCTCATCATTCTTTATCTTACATTTTTCTTTCCTTTCCCCCCTAGTTTTATTGAGCTATACTTGACATGCAGCACTGTATTGGTCAAGGGGTATAGCATAATGATTTGGTATATGTATAGACTGTGAAATGACAACCACAACTAGTTAACATTCATCACCCCACATAGTTACAGTATTTTTTATTCTTGTGGTGAGAATTTTTTTCTTATATGAGAAAATTTTTCTTTTTTTAAGGAACTTAACTATTTTGATTATCTCCAGAACAACTAGGATGATGCCTTGACCTCTATGTCCTTCCTGATACTTCTGAGAATGTCTTTTGTGATAAGGAATAATTCCTTTTTTTTCTTGTTGAATTCCTCTAATTGTTTATAAGCCCTTCCTTGTGTTAAACCACTTTGTAACTCTTACCCATAGGTTCTAATTATGCATTGCAGATTTATGCAGAAGTCAAAACTAACTTTCACGGTATAATTCTTCATTATGTTTTACTTTCCAGACTAAACAACTCCCCATAAAAAAAAAGCTTCTACCCTGGTCAGGTGGCTCAGTTGGTTGGAGTGTCCTCCCATACATCGAAAAGTTGAGGGTTCAATTCCTGGTCAGGCACATACTTTGGCTGTGGGTTTGCTGCCCCGTTAGGGCGCATATGGGAGGCAACTGATCGATGTTTCTCTCTCTCTCTAAAGTCAATAAAAACATATCTTCAGCTGAGGATAAAAATAAGTAAAAAAAAATTGCTTCTAAGACTCTTTATCATCTTTGTTACCCATTTAAATGTATCTTCCATTTCATCAATATCCTTAAAATCTTCCCATCAGAAATGGGAAAGAAAGATTTATAAGAGAGAAATAATATGAGGACAATAACAAATATATGAAACAAAATACTACAGAGCATAGTGGGGGGAAAACTTACCTGGCTTAAGAAGTCATTCATTAGTAATCAGTGAAATAACTGAATAGACTAAACCAGCATCAGAGAGTCCTATGGCACCCCCTCAAACACCTACCTGTGGGTCAGTGTTTTCCAAGGTGTGTAGCAAATAGTAAAGAAAACTAATAACAGCAAATATGAATTGAGCATAAAGTATGTATCAGGCATTGTTCATGCACTGTTTTAAAAATTGATTTTAAAGAGAGAGAGAGGGTGGGGAGAGAAACATGGATCAGTTGCCTCCCACACAGGCCCTGACTGGGGATGGAACCCACAACCTTGGTAGGTGTTCTGCCAGGGTATCAAACCCACTACCTTTTGGCATATGGGACAATGCTTCAACCAAATGAGCCATACCGGCCAGGGCTACGCATGCACTTTTTATGTATTATGTCATTTAACCCTCATAATAATCTTTTAAGGTAAATATTGTCATTACATCAATTTACAGGTGAAGAAATTAAGCTTAAAGAAATTATTTGCTAAAAATTACAAAACAAGTAAATGGCAGAGCCGGAACTTGACCTAAGTATCTCTGGTCCCAAAGCCAAAGCTTTTAAATCTCACAATATATTGTTTATTCTTAAAAAATAGATAGGTAGGTAGGTAGACAGACAGAAAATTCAAAGGCAAATGTGGTCACATAAATTTGGAAAACTCTTAAGTTATATAAAAAACAGGTAACTGCTCAATTTCTCTGAATTGTTAAAAATGCTAGTTTACTTTGCTAATCTCCAACAGGGGGATGTAGTTTGCCATGTTTCCCAAACTTATTTAACCAGAAACACTTCTATCTAAGAGCATGTTGCAGGACTAGTGTTCCAACGAACACATTTGGAAAAGACTGCATTAGATTAAGAACAACTCCTTTTTCTGGAACATCTCTAAAAAAATGTTTTTTCAGTATATTTGTTTAATCAGTTATGAATCTAGCCAATGGTGACTGTGCAAGTAAATTTTCAGAGCTAAATTCTTACCTGTGGGAAACCAATTACCTAAATATAGTCTGGGAGTAGACAGAGCAGTGTGGCTTGACAGTAGCTCATTCTTTTCTTTATTCGTTCAAAAGAAATTAATAAACAACTACCACAAGCCAGGCTCTGTACTAAGTACAAGGCATATAAAAATGCCCATAAACCAATTGCTTCTGTCAAGGTGCTAATTGTTTTCTGGGGGATGCAGAGACACAGTGCACATCTTCCAAGGCATGATTCACAATGTACACTATGTAAGCAGAGTAGCCTCATGCAGAAGTTTTGAATGGAGACATGTGAATAAATGATATTATACAGTATAATGAGTATAACACTCGAATCATAAACAAAGTTTAAATTCCACACAAAAGAAATGTAATTCCATTTCAGTCTATCAGACAACATTTCACCCAAGAGGGTCTGCACCCTCTTTCTCCTTGCACCTATCACTAAGAGTGGTAAAAATATTTTATTAACTTTCCTGTCTGTCAATGACTGAGAATTTCTTTCCCAAAATACCATAAATGAAAATTATCACTAACCTCAAAATTGCTCAAAAAATTGCTTTTTTTTACAAAACAATTTGAATGCCTATGCATATAGGCCCATATACCTTGTGACAATTTGCTATTATATCTTCAGTATTTGAAATCCAATATCAAATAGACACTTGCTTCTTGAGAGAATAACATTGGGGTGCCCCATGAGATGTATCGGTGAATGTGTTCTCCCATTAAGTGGGTTTTTTCATGTTGTTGATGGCTTCCTTTGCTGTGAAAAAAAAATTTGAGTTTGATGTAGTTCCATTTCTCTATTTTTTCTTTTGTTTCCCTTACCCAAGGAGATATATTAGAAAAAAAATATTGCTATGAGAAATGCCCAAGATTTTACTGCCTATGTTTTCTTCCAGGATTATGGTTTCAAGTCTAACATTTAAGTCTTTAATATATTTTGAATTTATTCTTATTTATGGTCTAAGAAGATGGTCTATTGTCATTTTTTGCATGTGTTTTTCAATTTTCCCAAGATCATTTATTGAAAAGACTATCTTTACCCAATTGTATGTTTCAGCCTTGTCCAATATTGCCTATGAAGGTGTGGGTCTATTTCAGGCCTCTCTTTTCTGTTTCACTTACCTATATGTGTGTTTTTATGCCAGTATCACGCTGTTTTGATTACAATGGCCTTGCAGTATACCTTGATATCAAGTAGCATGATTCCTCCAACTTTGTTTTCCTTTCTTAAGATTGCTGTTGCTATTCAGGGTCTTCTGTGGTTTCATACAAATTTTTAGAATATTTGGTCTAGCTCTATGAAATATGCCATTGGTATATTGATAGGAATTGTGTTGAATCTATAGATTTCTTTGAGCAGTATGGACATTTTAATTATGTTGATTCTTCCTACCCATGGACACAGTATACACTTTCACTTATTTGTATCTTCTTCAATTTTTTTCTTCAGTGTCTTACAATTTTCTGGGTACAGGTCTTTTCCCACCTTGGTTAAATTTATTCCTAGGTATTTTATTCTTTCTGAAGCAATTGTTAATGGGATTGTTTTCTTATTTTCCATTTCTTATCATTTATTGTTGATCTATAAAAGTGCAACTGATTTTTAGATATTTATTTTGTATCTACTACTTTCTGATTCATTTATCAGTTCTACTAGTTTTTTGGTAGAATCTTTAGGGTTCTTTATAAACAGTATTATGTCATCTTCAAATAATGACAGTTTTACTTCTTCCTTTTCAATTTGGATGCCTTTTGTTTCTTCTTCTTGTATTTCTATTGCTAGAACTTCTAGTACTATGTTGAATAGAGTGGTGAAAGTGGACATCACTGTCTTATTCCTGAACTTAAGGGAAATGTTTGTAGTTTTTGCCCATTGAGAATGATATTGGCTGTGGGTTTGTCATATATGGCCTTTATTATTATTTTTTTCCTCACCCGAGGACATTTTTCCAATTTTTGTACAGATAGAGTGGGAGGGAGGGAGGGAGGGAGAGAGAGAGAGAGAGAGAGAGAGAGAAATACATCGACGTGAAAGGGACACATCAAGTGGCTGCCACCCGCACGACCAACCAGGGCCGGGGACAAACTGCAACCGAGGTACATGCCCTTAGCGGGAACCAAACCCGGGTCTCTCCAGACCGCAGGCCAACGCTCTAACCGCTGAGCCAAACCAGCCAGGGCATATATGACCTTTATTACTTTGAGGTAATGTTCCCTCTATTCCCACTTTACTAACAGTTTTTATCAAAAATGGGAGGTGGGTTTAATCTAATGCTCTTTCTGAATCTACTGAAATGATCATGTGATTTTTTTTCCTTTATTTTGCTTATGTGGTGTATCACACTTATTGATTTGCAGATATATTTGCATCCCCTGAAAAATCTAACTGAATTACGGTGTATGCTTTTTTTAATGCATTGTTGGATCTGGTTTGCTAATATTTTGTTGAAGATTTTTGCATCTATGTTTATCACAGATATTGGTCTATAATTTTCTTTCTTTGTACTGTCTTTATCTGGTTTGGAATTAGAATAACGCTGGCCTCATAAATGAGCTTGGGAGTATTCCCTCCTTTTGAATTTTATGGAATAGTTTGAGAAGGATAGGGGCTAGCTCTTCTTTAAATGTCTGGTAAAATTCACCTGTGAAGCCATCTGGTCCAGGACTTCTGTTTGTTGGGAGTTTTTTAAATTATTATTATTACTTCTATTTTACTCAAAACAAATAAACAAAAAAACAATCAAAGAAAAAACAATCCAATTAAATGATGGGCAAAGAACCTGACCATACACTTCTCCAAAAAGGACATACAGATGACCAATAGACATATGAAAAGATGCTCAGTGTCACTAATCATCAGAGAAATGCAAATGAAAACCACAATGAGATATCACCTCACACCTGTGAGAATAGTTATCATCAATAAATCAACAAACAAGAAGTGCTAGCAAGAATGTGAAGAAAAGGGAACCCTTGTGCACTGTTAGTGGGAATGCAGACTGGTGCAGCCACTGCAGAAAGCAGTATAAAGTTACTTCAAAAAATCAAAAATGAAACTGCCTTTTGACCCAGTGATCCCACTTCTGGGGCTATATCCTAAAGAAACCCAAAACACTGATTCAAAAAAATATATGCACCCCTATATTCATTGCAGTATTATTTACAATAGCCAAGATTTGGAAGCAGCCCAAGTTCCACCAGTAGATGAGCAGATAAAAAAGCTGTAGTACATTCACACAATGGAATACTACTTGGGTGTAAAAATAGAAGAAAATCTTACCCTCTGCAACATCATGGATGGACCTGGAGAGTATTATGATAAGTGAAATAAGCCAGTCAGAGAAAGACAAGTACCATATGATTTCACTCATATGGGGAATCTAATGAATAAAATGAACTAAAGCAAAATAGAGACAGACTCAGAGAGAGCTGGCTGACAGCTGTTAAGGGGGGGTCATATGGGGGTTATGGGGGGGATAGAGAAACTGAGCAAAAAAGAATAAAAAGAGAAAAACCTCATGGATACGAACAACGGTGTGGTGATTGCTGGGGTGGGGGTGGGGGAAGGTGAAGAGAGTTTAGAGGAGATAAATGATGATGAATGGAGACTTGACTTGGGGTGGTGAACATACAGTACTCTGTGCAGATGATGTTGTGGAATTATGCACCTCAAACCTGTATAATTTTGTTAAGCAATGTCACCCCAATAAATTCAATTTAAAAATGTGCCCTATGAACCCTTAGGGTCTATAGTCACAGGAAATGGAAAATTACTTATATAATATTATGAGTGAGAAGAATGTTAAAAATATAATTGGTTGTTTTCTAAAGCATTTTAATATCTGTAAAATTTCAGCATTTGAAAAAAGAAGAGACTTCAAAATTATTGCAAAATGCCCTAAGTGACATATTGGACTAATTTAATCCGGGGTGGGGGGCGCTCAGGAGGAGGGGAAAAGGAGTCACGCTGAAATGGAGCCAAGCTTAGTGATACCGCTTTGGACTAACTGTCCTTCCAATTCCTCAACTGCAGTCATCAACAACTAAATGAAAACAAGCACATATAACTGACAAGATAAAAAGGTTCAGGTTTACAGAAAATAAAGAATGTGATTTTCCTTGTTATGGAGCAATTTTTAAAACTAAAAGAACCCCTTCCCCCAAAAATGCTTCATACCATCATGCCACCTAATGCTCTTTGTCCCACCAGACACCACTCCCTCTGACGAGGTTCTCAAAATTTACCATTTCATATGATGATGTGTTCTAGTAAACAGTGAAAACTGGAAAGAACATGATACTCAACAATAAGAGACTGATTAAATACATTGTGGAACACCTTCATTAAAATGTGGTGTTTATACTCATAATATAAAATGACAAAAATATTTTTATTTAAAAATAAACTGTATCATGAGAATCGTACAAATACAGTTATAAACACACAAACTAAAGACTAGAACAAACATCAAAATTATCGTGATTATCACTAACCGGGTGGTGCAGCTATTACCGATTTTAATTTTCTTCATTATGCTTTTCTATATATTCCAAATTCCCTAACGTAAGTTGTATTGGTCTTAAAAGAAAGAAGTCCTGGCCGGTTTGGCTCAGCGGTTAGAGCGCCGGCCTGCGGTCCGGAGAGACCCAGGTTCGGTTCCCGCTAAGGGCATGTACCTCGGTTGCAGTTTGTCCCCGGCCCTGGTTGGTCGTGCGGGTGGCAGCCACTCGATGTGTCCCTTTCACGTCGATGTTTCTCTCTCTCTCTCCCGCTCTGTCTGAACAAAAAAATGGAAAAATGTCCTCGGGTGAGGATAAAAAAAAAAAGAAAAAAGAAAGAAAGAAAAAAATAATATCCTCTTTAAGGTATTTCCTTCTCATTTTATTTTTTCTTCATGGGCACTAGGTTAGGATCTTGAATAATAACAGAATTTTCTATTTCATATCATCTTTGTCCATCTTTGTTGATATTCCTGTAAACAGAGAATTCAGTTTAAAGACTACATACCTGAGAATAATACCACAGGGAATAACACTAAGTAGGTTTTCCTAGTATATTATAGTTACCTGTAGCAAAGATAAAAATCTATTCCTGAGTATATGGCTGTGCTATAATAATTTCTTCCTAAAGCTGGAGGATTTGATTTCCATGGTTGAAAATATCAATAAGACCTCTTTTTGTATCTCTTTGCACACAGATGTTACTTTCATGCAAATACAGGGTAAACTATGAATTGGATCTGGATACATGACCATCCAAAAGAAGGAGCTCTACACTAGGTAAAAGGCCACAAATGCTCTAGTCCTGGTTATACTACTAAAAAGCTGTGTAACCTTGGACAAGTGACAGTTTCTTAGAGTATCAATTTCCACATGTGTAAAATTAGGAAATTAGAGAAGTTATGTGTCCACTGAAGGACTCTACTTATAAGAGGGCTGCAAATACATAAATATTGGGGAGTCAGATACAGAACGAGGTGATACTTAGGTCAATGTGAACAGCTATTGAAAGATTCTCCAAGGGTCCGGAATCTATAATCTGTAAATCTCTGGTCTTCCACTAGCTAGCTGTACAATTTTTTTGAAAATCATTTTATTTCCTTAAACCACTGTAAAACAAGATGGGTAGACTAGATGATTTCAAAGTTTTATTCCACCTCTAAATTCTATGATTTAGAATTCAAATATGAGTCTAGAGAGGACAAAAGGAAACAAGGTAAAATAGGATTAAAATAAACATGAGATTCTCTGACTTCCTTGTTTTTACATTGAGTTAGATTTTCTCTAATTGTGTCATTTGGTGGAAAGATAAATGAGGGTAACTCCTGCATTCCAGTTGATGGTAGGATAGCAATTATTTAAAAAACAAAACAAAAACAGAACAATTATAATTTGGTTAAGAGGCAGAAAATCATTTATCCAAATGCTAACTATTACTTTGCATATAATAATTAGCTCCAGAAGATGTACCCATCTAGCACTTTTTGGCAACTAGCAAACACTTAATAAATATTTACTTTATGAGTTATGATTACTGCTGTTCTATTTGAATGAGGATGATTAGGAGTTGACAGTCTTCAGTGGAGAATTCTGGTGTTTAGAAATCCCTTTCCTTTGGTGTTTCAAAAGACTCCAAGTCTATGAACCCATTAAACGTCATTATGTTTTTATGGTCTAGCTCAGTGAGGAGTCTACTGAGATACACAGTATTTCAATTACTTTGAATGCTGTCCAAATCTGTGGTAAGATTTCACTGTATTAAGCAAGTATCAAAAGGAACTCAAGAAATCTAACAATTTTTAAAAATACACTCTTTGCTCATATATATTAGGAGCAATTACGTTTTTTGACCTATAATCTCACAGATGATAACATAATTTTCAAAAGTATGGGTAAGTCCTGGCCAGGTGGCTCAGTTGGTTGGAGCATTGTCCAGTACACCAAAAGGTTGCAGGTTTGCTTCCTGATCAGGGCACATACCTAGGTTGTGGGTTCAATCCTCAGTCAGGGTTAGTGTGGGAGGAAATCAATTGATGTTTCTTTTACATCAATGTTTCTCTCTCTCTGATTTCCTCTCTCTATGAAATCAGTAAATGTATCCTCATTTGAGGACTTTTTAAAAAAGATTTTTAAAATATGGGTAATATATAAAGAAGTGGTCCCAAGGTCTTTCATCACATCTTTTTTTTTCAATCCTACACACAACTTAGGTTAAAAACACTATATACATTTTCATTTTATCATACATCAGGGCATTACTCCACTGTGGCTTGGCTGATGGCCTTCCTCCCTGCTTATGTATATACTACAATTAGGAATTCAATAACATTGTCATTAATAAGGGCTGGAATGAGCATTAGTTGTACTGACTGTCACAGAAGTGGCAGTTCGCTAACATTGGATCCATAGGACATCATTATAAAACCATCAATCAAGGCTTGAGAGGGCTGGTGCTTTACTGGAGCCACTGCAGTGGAATTTGACCAATACGAATGCCCTTATTATATACCTAAATTAAGGAAGAAAACTCATTTGTGGAATTTAATTATACATCCAGTATTTACCCTTCACTCTCTGTTTGTGATGCCTCATTACTATTGCAAATGTACATTTCACATTACAAGCTACAGAGACACTGAAAAGAATCGGTAGCAAGAGAGAATATACATGTGTATTTTATACAATATATGCAATGCAACATAAAAATAAGAGACTATTTGTCACCACATTGATTTCTGTGTACAGTTCAATTACAGCAAAAAGCTTACATGAACATGTCAGTCTGACACAATTTAACAAGCATTCACAAAGTGGCTGCTAGATACAGGGCACAGAGTGACATTCAGGATGTGTTCATCACCTCCCTACCCTCAAGGAGCTTACAAGGACATTTAGTCTCTCTTATTTAAAAAAAATCCTAAAAAAATCAATGGTCCTTTCATTTTTTTTCTTTAATGGAGTTCCCAGAAAGAGGTTCTGCTGAAAGTTGATAAATTATATTTTTGCTCCAGGCCTGTGTTTGGGAAGAAGACCGTGGAACTGGATCTGATTTGAAAGAAAATAGCCAGGGTCCATGGGAAACTACTGAAACACATGTTTCTACAACACTAATATTAAAGGGATAGTGCTTGCTCAGCCTGGTTCTGAGAACACTGGGTTCCTCTAAAGTAAATCAAAACAGGAAAGCAAGAAAGTGATAGAGGCAGCACTTGTTAATAATACAGCCCTAGGTTAGGCCGCACTAACAATAACTACCCTTTTAAAAATATATAAATGAACTCCAAAGCACATTAAAAACATTATCCCATTCACCGTGAAAAAGTGGGCATTTAAAAAAATATTTTTTATTGATTTTTTTAGAGAGAGAAGAAGGGAATGGGAGAGGGAGAAAAAGAGAGAGAGACTCAATCAGCACTTCCTGCATGCCCTCTACTGAGGATCTAACCCCAAAACCCGGGCATGTGCCCTGACCAGAATCGAACCCGCGACCTTTTGGTGCATGGGGTGACACCCAACCAACTGACCCACACCAGCCAGAGCAAAAGTGAGCATTTTTTACCTTCATTTTACAAATAAGAAACTGAGTCTCAGAGGGCGTAGGAAATTTGCCTGAGACACACAGCTATGAGTGGGAGAACCAGGGCTCTAATGCAGGAATGTCTAGCTCCACATACCAGGAGTTTCTGCTCATCAGTGCCTCTCTAGAGAGATACCTCTATGGATACCTACGTGGATACCTACCATTCAGCCAAAACAAATTTCTTTGACTTGAACTTTAATTTAATGCAGCATAATGCATTTCCATCACCCTCTCAGTTTTTACCTCCTCTGAAACTGAATCCTTGTCTTTGACTTCTAGTGATTTTTTTTTTTTTTTTTGCCTTTGTTCCCTCAAAGGCAAAAGCTGGAAAGAGTGTGAGGCAATTACTAACTATTGGCACAGTCAGAGTGGGTCTCAAAATTTTCACCGATCAAATGAAAAATAAAGTTTCAAGAGTACAAAGACCAGTTCTCTAGCTGATTGCTACGTTCATTGTCTTGTCTCAAGTAATCCACACTGGCACATGAAAAACTCAAAACTGAAAATCTGGTCAGGAAGTCAGAAGTAGACTAAAACCAACATAATTTCTTATTCCAGTTTTGAATAGTTGTGGAATTATTTTGGTAAAGATGGGTAGACCGACACTCAGTAAGGGCCATATCAAGTTGTCAAAAGAAAAGGTTATTCCATTTTTTAAGGACTAGGAGAAATGAAATATTTTGCTCTCAGCCAAAAACCAATGAGAATGCAAGAGACCTAAGACTTCGACAAGCAAACTTACCATGAGAAAAGTTATGTTACAATCTATATTTAATCATTGGAAGATGCTTTTCTTGTCTGGTGTGTGCTAAATACAACCATTCCCATAAAAACAAAAATACCCATTCTGTATCTCCTTACTTTCAGGTCAATAGGCATTCCTCTTTAAGAAGTACCCACACTACAATTGTTTTAAAATCTTATGTTGTTTAAGCCAAAACATTTCTAGCATTGCCAGCAACCACCCGAAGCCAGGGGAGGCATAGCACAGATTCTCCTTTAGTGCCCCCAGAAAGAACCAGCCCTGTCAACACATTGATTTCAGACTTCTAGCCTCCAGAGCTGAGACAATAAATATCTGTGTTGTTTTAAGTCCCCCCAAATTATGTTGTTTAGCAAGATCTTTATTTCTTAAAGTGAAGCATGAGTTAGATGGAATTATATTAGGTTGATGTGCTAATGTGAAGGAATCCCCCCAGTCCAAAGCACATCTACCCGTCATGGGGGTTCATTATTCTATGTTTAAAACAGGATTTCTTGGTTTTCACAAATACATAATGTAAATGGTGCTGTCGAATACAGTAGCTTCTAGCCACATGTGGCTATTTAAATTAATTGTAATGAAATAAAATGAAGATTCAATTTCCTCGATCTCACTGGCCACATTTTAAATATCCAGTAGCCACATGTGGCCAGTAACTGCAATGATGGACAGCACAGACACAGGGCATTTCCATCACTGCAGAGAGATCTACTGGAAAGTGCTGGTCTAGAAGGATGAGACAGAGAATACAGAACCACTGTTACAACCACGGCGGCTTCTATTTAAAGAAATCCCCGGCTTCTCCTCCAACACTGACCTCATCACACTCATATAATGACAGCTATCCTCCACAGTCCCAGAAATATCACTTTATTGGATTGACAACCTAGAGAAACTTAATAACTGGCGCTTTATTATGCATAGTGTCAGGTCAGCATCTAGTTTGGAGATGCTATTGTCCTGACCTCTCTGTTGGCAAGAAGTAGCTAGTGCAGCTCCATTTGTCTGGATTGGAACACAGTTGGGGTGAGAAAATGGAAAACATGATGTTCCCCCTTCAGCCATGACCCAGACTTACCCAGTGTTCTGTTCGAGATTATTCCTAAGTGACTAAGAGGCATGTTTTTACACCAGCAACAACCCTGAACTTTTCAAAAACTATAATAAGCCCTCAAGATAATAAAAGGATTGGTCCTGAATAGAGAAAAGCTATGCATTTCCGCAATTCCCAGTCTGTCACTGAGATAGAAACACTGTATTAAATACATTTTATTTTTTTGTTAATCCTCACCTGAGGATAATTTTCCATTGATTTTTTAGATAGAGTGGAAGTGAAGGAGGGAAGGAGGGAGGGTGGGAGGGAGGGAGAGAGAGAGAGAGAGAGAGAGAGAGAGAGAAACATCAATGGGAGAGGAACACATCGATTGGTTGCTTCCCATATGACTCTGACCAGGGCCAGGGATCAAACTTGAAAACCAGGTACTACATGCCCTTGACCAGAATCGAACCTGTAACTCTTTGGTTTGCAGGCTGATGTTGTAATTGCTGAGCCAAACTGGCCAGGGTTGTATTAAATACATGTTAAATGAGTGCACTAAAAAGTCTATCCATAAGTCAGACAATCAATATTCCTCAGTGTACCTATAGTTCTCAAAATAGGGTTAGAATCTTTTCTAATTATATTATAAGGTTTCAAAGTTCTCATACATATGATTAAGGAATATATATTTATTTCTTGCCTGATTTAAAGTCTCCAAATACATTTCAAAATTATTTAAATAATTTTTTCTCAAGACCAATGTTTTTGGCATTTATCAAAAACTTTTAAAAGACTTTTTTTTTTCTTTCTAAACAAGGGCTCAACATTCATAGTATCCTATAAGAATGCCAAAAAATAAAAATAAAGCTGAGTCCTGCTATTAAGACAGCTTAGATCTATTCTGTAACAGATTGTCCCCATTCAAGGAAAACAATGGCCTGTGTGAGACCAGAGATGTCATGACACTGACCCTTAAGAACACAGCAAAACATGTTTGCTCTTCATTAACATGAGACCTGGATCTATCCTTTGATAATCTCTAACTTTTCTACTTATATCAAGCTTATCCAACATGTCATGATGCCTAAAGCATAAATCTAAAGAAAAATAATAAAGTGTGTGACTACAACTACAGATATGATAGGAATTCTGACCTAAGCAAAAATTAAAGGAAATTAGTTCTTAAAATTCACAGAAGTGTGTCCATACGGCATGGCTCTTTTGAGAAACACAGGCCCCGAGAGAGATTATAGCCAAAGAAGATTTGGTGGTTTCTCACTAAGCCCCTGGCAGTGACTGTTTCAGAAAATTAAGTCGTTTACGGAGCACATACTCTTGAGACATCCCCTTGCTTGATTAGATGAGGCAACAATACAATGTGGATGTGAATTCTAAACAGATGGGGGAAATAACCATAGGAAAGAAGCTGCTGGCTCTGGCCAGGTGGTAAAAGGGTTCTCCGAATGGGCAAGCAAAATACCCCTCATAGAAAAAAGAAGTTTGAGGAGATCTTGCCACTAAAAAGAAAAAGCCAACGTTAAATGCCCTACAGATGCAGGACAGAAAGAAGGTAATGATAGGGGGAGGTATATGTGGGGCTTCTGGATTGCTGATCATATTTTCTCTTTTTTAAAAAATTTTTTTCTTTATTGATATTACCGAGAGAGAGAGAGAGAGGAAGGGAGAGGGAGAGAGAGATAGAAACATCAATGAGAGAGAACATTGATTGGCCGCCTCCTGCATGTCCCCTACTGGGGATCAGGCCCACAACTTGGGCATGTGCCCTGACTGGGAGTCAAACTGGGAACCTCTTGGTGGCGTGGGTTGATGCTCAACCACTGAGCCACACTGGCAGGACATATTCTGTTTCTTGACTGGGGTAATGGCTACACAAATTTGTAAAATTGGAATGATTTGTCAAGCCATACACACATACACACACATATAGATGTTGTTGTTGCTAATCCTCATTCAAGGATATTTTTTCATTGATTTTTAGGTAGAGTGGAAGGGAGGGAGGGAGGGAAGGGGAGAAAGAGAGACAGAAACATCAATGTGAAAGACACATTGATTGGTTACCTCCCGCATGACCCCAGCCAGGACTGGGGATCGAACCTGCATTTCAGACACGTGCCGTTGACTGGAAATCAAACCCAAGACCTTCAGTCTGTGGACTGACACTCTAACCACTGAGTCAAACTGGCCGGGGCATCAAGCTCTGTATTTAAAATTTGTGAATTTTTATGTGTATATGCCACACCTAATTTTTTTAAATATGTAAGAAGTTAGCCTGGCCTGTGTGGCTCAGGTGTTTGGGCATTGTCCCCATGCACCAAGAGGTCATTGGTTCGATTCCAGGTCAGTGCACATGCCCAGGTTTCGAGCTCAATCCCCAGTAGGGGGCATGCAGGAGGCAGCCAATCGATGTTTCTATCTTTCTCTCCCTCTCCCATCCTCTCTCTCTCTAAAAAAAAAAATCAATAAAAACATTTTCTTTTTAAAAGAGAAGTTAAACACCCATGTCCTCAACAGAGAGTCATACAGACTAACCTCAGAATTTTCGTGGGTTTCTATGAAAGAAGCAACAAAAAGGAATTTGTTTAGTGTAACACCAGGCCACGCCACTGAGTCAGAAACATGTTGTTATGGTGACATTTCATCTAATGAGGTCCCTTTGTGAACATGCTGGTGCTGTTAGTCCAAGCTCATTGCTGCATACTAAACAAGATGTTTTGTGTTGGACTGGTTGCCAATGCAGTTGTCAGTCAGCAGACATATGTAGAGGACCTCGTAGGTGCAAAGCATTGTCTGCACTGGCTAGTGGTGCGAGAGAAGTATCCTGCCCCCAATGAAATAAAAATGACTTATGTCTTTTTTCCATAAGCAACATATCAGCAAGTATAAAATAATACAATTCACGTAAATCAAATTTTATATTCTGTCTCTTCCATAATTCATTCCTTTTTGTCCCTCAGCAAATTCACTCAACATCATTTTTATCGGATCTTCTCCATCCCCCTTACAAGTCTCTAAGTTTGAAATCTGTGGCACCCTCCTCATTGATCCAAACAGTTCATTTAATCCTTCCTGCACATAATTTAGTAATTTAGTTTAACTGGCAAAATTGTAAAGTTTTGCGATTTTCAGGGAGGATTCTACAGCCAGACTATCCAGGATTGAATTCCTTAAACTTTCTTATTGTTTATGTCAAGTGTGTGAATATATAGGCTCAAATACAAGTAAATAAGAAAACCTCCTTTAGTGGCTTTTAAATGCATTCTCATTCGTGCCAGCTGCTTGATTTGTATACATTGCTGTATTATAGACTCATGAGTGAAGCCGAAAGAATAGGATGATGTGATATAAGCCATTGCACTTGTGTATTCTGTCTTATCAAGGAAGTCACAATTATCTCTGCTATTCTCAAAATAAAGGGTACATTATTAAAGGACGCCATAAGGCATCAACCTTTCTTTAAAATTTATAGTCTACTACCATTTAGCATGTCTGTATGTCAGTGAATTAATTTTACAAGTGTTCATTAACTACTGACACTCAATAGACTATCTAGAGAACAATTCAAGTGTGCTAAAGGTGGATCATCCATTAGTGGCACATTTATCAATATCAATAAAATAGCATTTCAATTTAATGTGCTTTTACTTATGTTGCTTGTATTCTAGATTCCTCTGGTCTTCATTTTGCCCCAAAATGTGATTCTTAAAATATATACATGTATTCCACCTCTCTCTTAGGTGCTTATCAACCACTTAGGAAGTTAACAGTCACCTGTTATAGTGACAACAGAACCAAATTAATATCCTACCCCCAAAAAAGGTATTTATTCCTTTGGTGATTTTTTTAAAAGCTACTACAGAAACATGATCACACTTTCAGAAAACTCAGACAGGACAAAGACAATAGAAGAGATATAGAAAATAAAATTTAAAAAAGCAAACAATAGTTCTCCTAGAAGTTTTTTATTATTTTAATCCTCACCAGAAGATATACTTTTGTGTTTTTTTTTAAATATTGATTCCAGAGAGAGAGGGGGGAACATCTGTTGGTTGCCTCCTGTACGTACCCCAGTTGGGGATCAAACCTGCAACTTAGGTATGTGTCCTGACTGGGAATGAACCCGAAACCTTTTGGTGTATAAGATGATGCTCCATCCAACTGAGCCAGCTGGCCAGGGCCTCCTAGAAGTTTTAAGTCATGAGCTACTTCTAGTAGATAATGTACTTTGGTGTTCAATAGAGTCATATTCCAAATTCATAAGGCCTTTAAGTCTTATTTATTTGTACATAGACTAATTTTCAAAATAATTCTTAATAACTTAAAAATTTCAGAGCAAATTTTAAGGTTGCACTGCACCAGTTTTTTAAAAATTATAATTTCCACAGTAATGTGATTTCTAGTATAACATTCTAGCTGCTACTGGAAAATGACAATATGTTAATACTTATATAACTCTGCCTTACACACATTTGTCACAATATATTGTCTTTAAACAATATCTCTTATCTTTTATCTATTTCACTCCACTCAATTGCCTATACATGTCTAATAGCTCCATCTGCTAATTTCTCTTCATTCAAATGTTAAATATTGTTTATGAGTTCCTTAAAAACCTCTCCAATATACTAATTACATAATACAGTTATATTGACTTTCATAAGAAAAAATTAGTTTTTGAAAAAGGAAAAACTATTTTAAATGTTTATACTACATCCTATGAAATAGTCTTGAACAGAATTTTTTTGGTAAACCATGTTGCAGTCTTTTACCAATGTTCTTTGGTTCGGTATAAATGATATGGTACATTTGCATTCAAATTCATGGAACTTTTCAAATCTGTTTCCCATTTAGCTGGCCAGCCAAAAACAATATTTTCATTTGTAAACAGCTGTTTCATAATCAGCTCTTTTGTACTATGTGGAATTCCATAAAAGATAAAAAATTTTATTTAAAATACAGGAATTGCATTAATCCACTGCAAATCATTGATTAGTTTTTGTATACTACCACACAGTTTAACATATAAGGAAAGATTTTAAGGAAAATTTAATCTTGTGTCCAAATATAACATTACTTTAAACATGAGGTCATCTAAACATCTGTCTCCAATATATCACTGGGGATTTAAATCAAAAGTCTGCTAAACATGTACAATCATTTTGAAAATAAATAACAGGACAAATTTTGTCTTGATTATGATTATCATGCATTTTAAAAGGAAACATTTATTCTAATAAGAAAAGTCTGAACTAATTTAAACTTTATTGACATTAAGTTAAAATAGTTTCATACAAGAATAAAATATTTCATTTATTTGTTGCTTAACAATACTTATATTTTAATTTTTCAACATTATACCCTATTCCTTTATTTCTTTATATATTGTTAACTGCAAAATATTTATGGAAAATTTTCAAGACATAAAATGTTGCCACTCAGTAACTGAAAAACTAATAATATTCTTTCTGAACTTTCCTTCCTTTAGGGCAGATATGAACCCTCAACAAGAACTAAAATAGTTCTATCTATTTAATTGAATCCTGCTTTATGCTTTAAAATAAAATAAATATGGCTAATTTCAAAAGACAGTTAAGGCAATAACTTCACTCCAAGACTTTACCATCAGCAAAAATTTAACGTATTTTAAAGAGAATGTAATTAAACTTAAACTCTACACTTTACTGTAGAATTCCATTTGTGTCTAATAAGTGAGAGCATTTTAATTCAGCAACAGAATTACTTCAAAAACCAGATAATATGTGAGATGAATTAGCATTAAAAATAAACCAAAATGCTTAATCTTCAAAACAGTTTCCAAAAGTAAACACACATTAGCAGCTGAAAAGCTGGAGAAAAACAAATTAAAACATCACTGAATAACGCCACGTTTTAAAACACACACCATAGCTTTCTCTAATGTGACAGACATCTCCAGAAATCCAGCTGAAAGGGATATTAGTTCCAGGCTGATCTTGCACCAAAATATAATGTGATCTAGTCACAAAAAAATATATAACTGAAGGTGGTAGTGGTGGGTTTCTGAACAACCTCAGTTCTTTTCTTCTTCCTGTCTATGTTTTGGAGTTGACAGCATGGACCATGGTAATGTCAGGTCACGTATCTGCCTTGGTGAGAGATTCTGGCCAAGGACTTTCCGGCACTGTGAATGAAACTACTTAAAGGCGAGAAGTGTGTCTATCACCTCTTGGACACTCGTTGCCCAGAACTGCAGCTGACACATACCTGCAGCTTGGTGATCCTTGGTCAATGTATAAAGGAGTTAATGAAAGGAATATCTGACCAAAAACTAAGAATGTTTGCCTGGTTCAGTTAGAACTGCCTACTAATAAACTGTCTTAATTTTCCCACCTATAAAGTGAGGCTAATTTCTTACCTCCACGTTCACTGAGGTTTTTGTGAGAAATGAATAAAAATATATGTACAAAAGCATCTGGAAAACTCCCAGTAGTAAATACGTGTAATTATCATGATTATTAGCAGCAAGACAGGGACGGGCAAAAGCAGGTTGACAGTTGTGAGTATGCAAAATAGAGTTTATTCTTGTATTATTAATTATTAATTATTGTATTATTTTCCAACTGCAAACCTAATTTTGCCCCACCTGTATATGTAGGTTAAAATAATATCTGCAGAGAAGAAAATACTGAATGTAAGATAAAGTATTTATTTAAAGTATTTTTTTGAATGAATAAGGTTAAAATCTAATTTACTTGTTCCCCAAAATAATGTAATTTGTTGAAAAACAGAGAAATTCACTTTGGAAATAAAGAACTGGGGACAAAGAAATCACTTCGGAAATGTTAATTCTTGTGATATCATTGTTTTAAACTTTAAAAGATCTTGAAAACTTAATAACTGTTTTTTGGATTACCAGGAAGAAATTCAAGTTTTCTTCCCATTCCAAAAGTTTTAACTATACTAGATGACTGAAGATGCCTATTCACTATAAGCAACATAAAAAGCATGTATTCTGTATTGCCAGTGGTTTTCCCCCAAATTTAAACAAGCACAGATATGATCTAAGTGGGAAGTGGGTGAAGTTATACTGATCTTTGTGTTGAAATAGCACAGATTTATCTTTATTATTATTTCTGTCAATTAATTTAAAAAATTTTTTAAACCACTAAAATATAAAAATAATTTGGCTTTAGTATAGTTTCCATTTGTATAACTTTCTCACGTTCAAAGTTTGGGTTCCCACATCTTTTACAATCTTTCACTTCTTTCTCAGTGGGTTTGTTCTACATGATGTTGATAGTAAGTGGCCCCTTGAAAAATCATCTAATTTAGCTTTCCCCTATTCAGTTACTCAAAAGACCTAGAACAAGATATGCAAGGTACTATGTGTCACTTTTTTTTTCCTAGATCATACTGACTTTTATTTTTCAAAATATTCATATTAGCAAGTTTTTCACACATTTTCATCTGAGTGCTTTAAAGAAATGACATAGACCCCACCTTCAGGGACAGTATTTCTCAACCTGATTCCAATGGGCTGGAGCAATTTTTTAAATGGTAAATCCTGGGCCAACCCCCACTCCCACTCCCAAAGATGTTGATTTAGTTTATCTGGGGTGTGGTCCTGGCATCAGGAGCTTTTAAAGTTACCGAGGTGATTTTAAGATCCCATCAAGGCTGAGAACCACTGCTTTGGAACTTTACAGTCTTGGAAGCAAGATTCTTAATAACAGTAACAAACTACCCATTTAAAGATACATACTTGTGCCAAGCAGCTGGCTAAGCACTTTATGTGCAGTATCTCATTTAACTCACAACAACTTTATAGGAAAAGATGGTTACTAATCCCTACTTTATGAATAAGGACACTATGATTAGAAAGATTAAGAAACTCTCCCAAGGTCCTACTGCTGTTCCTGGGCTGAGCGAGAATTCCAGGACAGTGGGAACTCTTTATCATCGACCACCACCATGGTAGGAGCTATGCCATGAACCAGACTCTTTTTTAAGGGCAAGTCAGAGTGCTAGTGAACCGAAGTGATGCAAGAATTACCTTCAGGGATATAAAAACACTAAAATTAGCAAGACATTAGAAATGCCCATTTTTCTCCTTAGCCTGATTGTCAGAATAAATTGCAAACTTTCTCAAAATAGCAGTGTTTGAGGCAAAGAACAGTCCCAGGCAGCGTTCTGGTCTAGCTGCATACCTCTCCGTTGTCATGGACATGGGAGGGAACAATGAAATCATTATTTGACTATTATTTTTTAGTTGCTAGTCAGCATAGGAGTCTGTCTGCAAACTGCATCTCTGCATTCCCTCCGGATCAGGGGAGCTGTCCCTCCTGGTAGTGACAGAATAACCACAAACAACACAACCCTTCTCAGGGGAAAGCCATCTTTATCTGTCAATATTAGTCAGTTGAGAAACAGAGATGCAGGCAGCTGAAAAAACAGTTTGACTGTTTTAAGTTTACAGGTGGCCTTCTAATGGAAACTTTTACACACTGACATTCCTTTTTCAAGTTAAAAAACTTTGGACAAAAAGGGACAAAATTTGGCAGTATGTTAATGCAATGTGTCTAACCAGCTTGTGAAAGCAAAATATCACATTTTAGAGAAGCTTGGTGAACTAAGTAAGCACCAGCCTTCTGGCAAGCAGACTCAGTTCCTGTTACCACCTTTTCTATGCTACACATTTCTCATGGTTAAGATCAGATCAGCCACATGTACCTGTTATAACAGAGCCTGGTCCACACAAGACACTTAAGAAATGTTTTCTGAATGAGTTCATGGATATTGGGGAGAACTAATTCAAAAACATTTCTGAAAATCAAATGGTATACACAGTAACATCATAATGTCAACATGTAAATAATACGTCAGCACCTTAAAGCCCAGCTAGAAAGTATTTTGAAGTGTAGGTTTATTTGCTCATGCATGTGTGTGTAAGTGTGTGTGTGTGTGTTGTTCCTTGGAAGAAGCGAGGATGAAAAGATGAGATGGCATTTGACTGATAATTCTGTAACCATTAGCAGCAAGGATCAGATTCTTGAGGTTTAATGAAAGATACCTGTTGTGCTTTCTCCAACATTTGGGGCAATGGAGCAGACAGGACCAGTTTATTTTGCTGGTGGCTCAAAACCCTTTTCCTAATTGACCTATCATAACTTAAACTGAGTGGGGAAAGGCACTGTTTGGAGCCTATCCCATGGAATAAAGTACAATTAATTAAATTTATCGATTTAGCTACCACAATAAAATTTTCCTAAAATAAAACCAGGGTTTTTAAAAATCAGATTAGATGGCTACTGACAAAAGTCAGAAGAGCATGGGGTGCCCTGGAGAATAGCCCTGGACAGTCCCTGAGGAAGAACACTGAACCGTGGGGCTGAGGGAATAGAAAAAAATACAGAAACCAGTAAGAAAAGGAGAGACCGTTAATTACAGACGCGGGTAATAATTTTGCCTTCACATCTTGGGAGAAGGGCTGATAGACCCTAGTCAATCTATAAATGAGCAGTTGTCAATCAGGTGGTCTCTTTATCGCTGGGGTGGGATACTGAAATAATTAAATTAAGGACAAGGTCTTTATTACTTGTCTTGATTAATAATGATTGATAAAATTTGCTCCAAATAATACACTGCAATTTTAAGGTCCCAAAAGATACTATGAATGACAAATATAATCAAATACCTACAAAAATATAAATGCCTTTCTCTCATAAGGGAAGTAGGTCTTGGGGGAAGGGAGTGACCCAAGTTATTTGATAGACCTGTGGGATGTGAATTGAGAATCACTCCTATAGACCTTCTACAGAATACTGAAAAGGAAATTTCCAGAAGCAACCTAATGACTCTATTTTGGGAATTGAAAGACCACTACATCTGGTGAAAACTAAGATTATATTAATGATATCCAGGTTGAGAACAAAACAAAACTCTACCACCCCAAATTAGAATTAAGTAAAAATAAGATTAGGTTTCTAGAAGGTAAACAAAACAAAACAAAAATACAGTTTACATTATAAATTGTAGAACAGAATTATAGTTAGCATATGTTCATATAGTGTGTCATTCATCTATGAAGATATTTTTAAATGTTTGGAATATGCCTAAATATTTCTGTTTTTCCCTCTCTGTTAATAATAACAAATACTTACTAAGTGCTGGGCACAGTTATAAGCATTTTACATGTATCAATCCAACCGACCCTTCCAACAACCTTATGAAATATATCGCAATATTATCTCTAATTTATGGGTGAAGCACAGAAATGTCAAAATGCCTGCCCAAGGGTAACACATCTAGTGAGTGTCAGGTAAAGCATCCAAATCTCCTCAGGACACAACCACATCTTTGTATTATCTTTACTCTCTTTGTAAGGTAAAGTTCACTATTACACATCGATGTCTCTTGATAGGGTACAATATTTTCTTCATTGTTGATTGATCTCATTTGGACCTATTTCATTGCTTAGTTTCCATAAGTGTACTTAAAAGTTTGCCATCTAGCCCTGGCCAGCGTGACTCGGTTGGTCAAGCGTCGCCCCGTGCACCCAAAGGTTACCAGTTCAATTTCCCAGTTAGGGCACATGCGGAGGTTTCAGGTTCAGTCCCCAGGAGGTGGCATGCAGGAAGCAGATGATTGATGTTTCTCTCACATTGATATCTCTCTCTCTCTGTCTCCCTCCCCTTCCTCTCTCTCTAAAATCAATAAAAACATATTTTTTAAAAAGTTTGCCATCTCTGTAACCATTTTTGGAAAGCTATGTAATTTGCAAAACAAAGATCTAAAAATAGAAATTAAGTAGATCAATGTTTTCATATATATGTATATATATTATACACACACACACATCACACACACACACACGAGTTAACTAACTCCTTGGGACACCAGAGTAGAAACTTAATAGACCAGAAGAGAAAATTAAGATTAGGTTGCTATGACCCCACTAAAGAAGTACCCTGTCACGTGACTATGTGTTTATCTGTGTGTCTGCAACACACGTGGAAGTGACTCAGCTGTTCCTGAGGGAGTGTGGGGCAAGTAGAGAGATTGACTTAAAAAAAAATACAACTAACACAGTGGCCTTTGAACTTGAAAAAATAAACTTACCTTCAAACAGTAAGCAACTTAATCAGATAGTCTATATTCTTTATTATCATTCCTAGGAAACTGGGTATTGGGAAGATACAGGTCTACATCCGTGCACAGTCAAGATCCAGGAAGACTGTATTCAGGCTTGGAGAAACAATGAGAATTTAAGTACCCAGGATTTAAGCCCCTCCAAGAGCAATCAGAGCAAGAAAACTAAGACCCTTTGGATTTCCATTTTTTCCCTTTGCAGCTATTAGGAAGAAAAGGAATGGTATATTTTAGCAGTGTGTGGTTTCTGGGGTAATGTCTGAATCTGGTGGTAGGTGAGCAGCAATGATTCTCCTCACCATCAGTGACATGCATTAAGCATGGACGGAACTGCACCAGCTACTCAGATCACTTAAGAAGCAATAAATGCTCTAGTGTCTTGATGAAAGGTTTAAAGTTTTTTAAATTAACATTCAAAATCGAGAACCAAAATAAATTGTCATTCATTTTGTCACCTATCTATTCATTCAACAAATACTTATTGTGTACCTAGCCTGTGCCAGATTCTGTTGTAGGCACTGAGGATATAGCAGGGTACCAAACATGCCATGATTCTTACCCTCAGGGAGCTTATTGTTTATTGATAGAAATAAGAAGAGCATGTTTTAATATCTGTCATTGTTCTACATCAAGTTTATTTAACAATAAACATTATGCATTTTTACATTTAAGTAAACATGTCAGTCAGTCAGTGTTACAGCTCCATCCAACATAAAAACGAAGTTGTTGTTTGTTTGTTTTTTTAAATTAAATATATGGCTCTTTTCTTAGCTATACAATGCTAATAAAACATATGTATTAAAAGTGTGACTTCCTTCATGCTTATTCAAGTGTAAGAATACATAAAGTCATATAAACTGCACAAATCATAACCAAAAGGCAGACACTTTTTAATGCAGAAATAGTTAATTTGCTAACAATTCATACATACTAATGACCACTGCGACCCCCTTTTTCTCCAACCTTGAAGGTTTTATTATACAGTTCTTTGGTCTGCACTTCCCTTTGGTCCTCCTCTGCTGTCTGACTATTCGATATGCACACAGCCACTCATCCATCCATCCATGTATTCAAGGCACAGATATGTGCCAGGAACAACTGGAGTGGGAACCTCTGGAATCCAGTTACCTTTGTCCCTTGGGACCAGAGTCCCTCAGAGGTTGAAAGAGAACTAAGATGCTTCTATTTACTAAGACTCTCGATAATGCAAACAAGTAAAGAAATGCCAACTTAACAGGCTTAGTAAAAAGTTGTTTTTATTAGATAACTACATTTTATATATTAATGCTTTTAGCACACAATTGCAATGACAAAGGCAATGCCTTTATGTCTAGCTTTATTTGAAAGAAACGTCAAAAGTTTAAATTTATGAGGTCCTCTGTGAATGTGGGGCCCCATTCAATGGGCCCTCCTGGTCCTGCTCAACCCTTTTCCTCTTGGCTTTTGGCACATTCCTATCTCATTGCCAAAGACAAGACACCAGGCTATCTGCACATATAAATGGTTCAGTCTCATTCCCTACTGCTTATATCCCTGGAAATCTCCAGGGAAGTAAACCTCAGAAGGGCACAGTACCCTGGAGTTAGGCTTAAGGGTCCTAAATGCCCTGGGGTTCAGGGCCCCTATTAGTGGTATTTTACACTTAGTACAAGTTTTAAAAAATAAATTTTTTGTGCCTTGGCCACAAGTTACATAACATTGTTCTAGGGGAGAATGCACCCTGATTGAAAATAACCAACCCAAAACTACAGATTTCTGGAACATGACCTACACATTGATGGCATTACATGAAACAATTTTTTCTCACCCATGGTAACTGCATTTCTTACTTTTTTCTTATATATTTGTCTTATGTTTTTCCTATACATGATAACTGTGAGTCTTTTAAAAACATTTTAGCTTACCCGGAAAAAAACCTGCCATCCATTTCTAACTTCTGTAAATCATGGAAAGTAAGACTTCCTTTTTGAGTTTACAAAATAAACTATTTCTATATATAGTTGTACACAAGCAGCAACTGTGCATCTTATATGATTATATGTCCTTTCATTCTAGAAAGCAAATCATACTGTTTAGCATAGGCCATACATTGAGATACACATCTTAGGTCAAAAAATAAAAGTTTTATTTATTTTAATGTTGCTCTGTGAAACTATCACTTCTACAAGGAATATTCCCTCCACAATCAGCAAAATAAGATGTATGAAAGAGTTCAAAGTACTTGGTTTCTAAACTAGAAGATATATATTTTTTTTACCTCTGTCATATTTATGTTATGGCACATAAGCAAAATAGGCCTCAATAGAATTGTATTGCTTTATGGTAAATGCAGTTTAAATAAAAACAGATTTATTGAGTGGCTAGTATAGTCTAAACACTGTGCTAGGCCTAGAGATAAAAAATAAATAACACTTGGTCTTTACCCAAAAGGGGCTCACTCTTTGCAAGATTTAAAAAACAAGAAATAGATCCAGTATAATCTTTTAAATTAATCACAAAACACTAAAGTAATTGTAAAAAGCATCCGTGTAGAATGAAACATAATAGTACATAGTATGTAAGCATATCAATGAAAGCATTTTTAATACATACAATACTGAACAATGGGTATTTAATACTCACTATTGAATGGATAGATAACACATTTTAAAAATATGAAATATATAAATCCAGTAATGTAAATTACCATTGCTTTTTAAAATAAATAAATAAAAAACTTAGGTGTCAGTGTCTCTACTTTGTCTTTCTTTGCTTCTCTGTTGACCTCCTAATCTCCAGCATATGTGTGTTCGAAAGAATAGAAGGTATAGGCCAATGTAGATCTCCATGAAAACATGAAGGACACAGTAAAAAAAAAGTCTTATTTCTTGATGCTCAGTCAGACAAACATGAGACTATATTGCTCTGTAAAAGAAAGATGCTGATATGTCTTACAATTTTGATATCATCACATTCCTACTTTCAATTTAATTTAAAGTAAATGTTTAAAGTGTTTTCTTAGTGTAACTAAAATTGCTCAATAAAAAAAAACATTAAGAGGCTTAGTATTTCTTATATTAAGTAATTTCTATATTCATTTTCTTTATAATTTTCCTAAAATGTCACAGCTGTATAGGTTTCTCATTAAGAGAGAAAAAAATAATTTGTATAATTGAATAATCATTTTTTTAAATGTTTAAAAAGACAGGGAAAGTTGTACTGCCATCTTGTGGTTAAAAGTTCATTTACAGGAGCAAAGACTTCTGGTATTTCCCATTAACTAATTCCGCAATACAGTATGTATTAATCTAAAAAAAAAATCCTGTTTGGAACTTATGTTTAAGAAAAAAACATATCTCACTCACTTTCTTATGTTAAATCCCAGTAGATTAAAAGAAGAAATGACATTATGAGTGGCTGCCTTGGCAGATAAATGAAAAGAACCATACATTTGACACTCTAGGTCCTGCTCACAGAAGCTTATGATTTACTCTTAGTGTAAAACACTGAAAATTTAGAGAAACAAAATTATGTACTCTAGGAGTTTTATTTTCACAAGGTAATCTCCAAGACTGACAAGCAATTAATATGACATTGATGCTAAGCTTATTAACATTGTTGGTTTGGTCCAGAACGCTAATTATGAAAGCAAGACCACTGCAGAGAAAATAAATATTAAAGCAACATAAATAGTTTCTTCTTACTTACTTACTAAGTCTTTTACTTAGACACATACACCCATTTTCCATATATAACTAAGAATCATACTTAAATGAAAAAATAATAATTCCAAAAATACAGTCCTCTATATTTTTCAAATGTATAATCCTCTACAATCTAAGCAGGGCATCTGTTCTAAATGTTTTACAACTCTGGTACCTAATTAGAAGTCAACATATTGCCACATCTGTCTGCAGAAAGCCTTTTCTTTTCTAAAGCAAATTATCGAAATTATAGGAAGACATCGCCATCTATAGGTATGCACAAGTACTGGATGGAGTTAGATTCGCATGTGACTGACTGCCCACTGTGGTACAGGAGCCAAGCCAATGTACTGCCCTAGAAGGAAGCTCCAAAATAACCCCGCTCATCCTTGACTCTCTGGAGAGGTATCTGAAATTTAATTCATTTCAAAGTGTTTTAATCTATCTCTACAATCATTCTCTAAAATAACGGTAATAACAACAACCACAGCAACAATAACAAAAACTAATGCTTCCTATAATTGTATTACTCTGATTTTGGTAAACTTGATGACCCATAAATATTGGTAACTTTTCAAAAATTAGCATAATGCATGTCTCATCTGTCTCTCTGTCTCTCTCTGTCTCTCTCTGTCTCTCTCTCTCTCTCTCTCTCTCAGTCTCTCTGTAAAACTTTTGGCTGCAATTCTATTTTAGGTGTTATTCAATTTTACTGAAACATATGTTTTATTATTTTTTCTCCAAAGTTATATCTTCCTCCTACAATAGTCCATTCTAGTTTTTGTGGACATTCAACTAAACTCACCCTTGCATCTAACCTAAAGCTGCCAGATTCATGCAAACAAAAAGGCTCAAGACACCTATTTCATGCAACTTGAAGTCCCTTGTTTTTCGCAAGAGAATCTGTACAGATTTTTTCAGTCTGCTTTGGAGTTGTCCTCACCCTAGTGAATCGTTCTGGTGTTTACCCTTGTTACATAAGGGTTCAATCTCCAATTAATTACCTGAGGATTGAGACTCAGCTAATTCCTAATCAATTGCCTGTAGGGGCTGGCAGAAAAGGGGTGGCCCACTGATGCTGACAGACACCCCGCTGGCTAATACGGAGAATTTCATATTTGTGCTGTCACTGGCATTTATAAAGATCTGACTCAAACAAGAAATGTCCTGTTTCACCAAGCGCAGACCCTGTTTGTTCATCAATACTTGCATTCCAAAGCAGCTATAATATTTAACCCACCAAGAAAGCCAAGAGGCCTTAGGAAGGTAATACTCTGTATGTGGCTGCCAACCTGATTTCACATTCTGCACACTATGAGGCAGGGCGGGATAGTGGGTAGGAATACAAGCTTTGAAAGCAAAGAGAACAGAGTTTGAGCCCATGCTCTCTCATTGGCCATGAGCTGGTTATTTAATTTCTCTGAGCTTCACTTCCCTCATCCTCAAGAAATTACGAATGAATACTGATGGTTTAAGCAAAGTAAGGTGCTTTACACATAGTGATTATTCAATAAATGTTAGTGATTAAGATTTATTTTAGTTTCCCATTTGTCTTATCAAAATTATTGACCAGATAATTAGGTAGAATCCACCTAACCCAAACACCCAGAGAAATTCATTTATAACTTCTTAAGACAGCAAAAAGAATGAGGAAGACTGAACTCAAAATAAGGATGAGTACAACTATACAAAAAGAGAAAATGGCATTTGAAGGTCTAACATCACTTACAGAATTTAGCTCTGAAACATTTTTGAAAAACCATTAGAGTCCCCATGACTCCTGATTCCATGTTATTTTTACTGTATAACTTAAAAATTTGTCTGCAGGGTGCAAAGGAGTTGGATGTGTAGACCTAAGAGTTATCTGCAAATGGATAGTGCTGAAGCCAGAGAGCAGATGGATTTGTTCAGGGAGATAACAGAGAGTATAGGGCAGAGAACCTGAGACCCCTGCAGAAGACAATTTTTTAAAATTTACTTTTCAGTTACAGTTTATGTATATTATGTTAGTTTTAGGTATACAACCCACTTATTAAACATTTATATAACTAAGAAAGTCTTTACCTCAATAAAACTAATATCCATCTGACACCATATATAGTTATTGCTATATTACTGACTATATTCTCTGTGCTGTACTTTGCTTCCCCATGACTATTCTGTAACATCAATTTGTACTTCTTAATCCCTTCACCTTTTTCACCCATCCTCCAAAACCCTCTCCCATCTGGCAACTGTCAAAATGTTCCTTGTATCTAAGAGTCTGTTTTTGTTTCCATTTTGTTTGTTCATTTACCTTGTTTTTTAGATTCCACATATACGTGAAATCAGATGGCATTTGCCTTTCCCTGTCTGACTTATTTCACTCAGCACAACCCATGTTGTTGCAGATGGCAAGATTTCATTCTTTTTATGGCCGAGTCATATTCTATTGTATGTATGCACCACTTCTTCTTTATCCTTCATTAATTAATTTACTTTTATTTATTTTTTGCATTTATCTTCAGATAGAGTGGGGGAGAGGGAGGGAGGAAGACAGAGAGAGAGAAACATCGATGCAAGACAGACACATGGAGTGGCTGCCACCCACACAACCCCAACTGGGCCGGGGACAAACCACAACCAAGGTACGTGCCCTTGGCGAGAACCGAACCTAGGTTTCTCTGGTCCCCGGGCTGACACTCTAACTGCTGAGACAAACCAGCCAGGGCTATCCATTCATTTACTGATGGACACTTAAGTTGCTTCCATATCTTGGTTGTTGTAAATAATGCTGTAGTGAACATAAGGGTGCATATGTCTTCTCAATTTAATATTTTGGGTTTCTTTGGATAAATACCCAGAAGTGGAATTGCTGGGTCCTTCTTTGTCTTTATTATAGCTTTTGTCTGGTATAAGTATTGCTACCCAGCATTTTGCTAGTTTGTTTCCATTTTCATGAAATATCTTTTTCCTTTCAGTCTGAGTGTGTCCTTGGACCTGGAATAAGTCTCTTTAAGACAGCATATGCAAGACAGCAAGTTGGGTGGGGTCTCAGGAAGTCATCAGGGTAGGGCTAACAGTGTTAGGTTGACTGAGGCTCAGATATGGCCTGGCCTGAACCTCCAGAGGGATGGCTGAGCAGAGGAACAGTGGCCTCAGCCAGCACTTCTGTCTGGAGAAAGCTGCCTCTCCAGCCCTCACCCCAAATCCAGACAATTCGTTTCCTCCCCGTATGTCCTGACACCTCCCAAGCTGCTGCCCCAATGCTGGAACTCAGAGTGAGTGAGTCCAAGTAAATCTGGGTGCAGGCCCTTTAAGAGAAATGCCCAGGACTCCAGAGGCCTTCTATCTCACTCAACCACAATCCTGCTATTTTTACAGATATGGGTACTTATCTTCCCAACACTAGAACCCTGGGCTGGGGAGCCTGCTGGGGGACTGAGATCCCTGCTCCTCAGAGGGGACCTCGCAGTCAAGGTATCCCTACTGGTTTTTTAAACACATGTGGGTGTGGGACCAGCCCATTAGTCTTCACCCCTCCTACCAGTCTCAACGTGGCTGCTTCTTTGTATCCTTAGTTATAAAATTTCTGTTCAGCTAGATTTCAGGCAGTTCTGAAAAATGGTTGTTCTGTAGTTTAGATGTACTTTGATGTGGTTGTGGGAGGAGGTAAGCACAGTGTTTACCTACACCACCATCTTGACTAGAACATCAGTTTTTAAGAAATGGAAAAAAGAAGAACAATTTTAAAAAGTGATGAGATGTGAAAAAGGGGGTAGAAGTCAACAGCAGAAACAACATTGAAAAGAAAAATTGGTCAGAGGTCTGAAATTCCACAAATATTAGTTGAAATTAGAAATTAAAGCCAGTAGAAAGGTCAAGTCAGATACACCAATTCCATTAGGTTGAAAAAAACTGAGTGAAAAACTTTCCCCAAAGTTTTACCTTGAAAGGAAAAGAAACTCAGGACCACAGCTTGAGATAAGTGACGTGAATTTGAGAAACACAATATGAAAAGAAAAATACAACTGAATGCCTGTTGTGGGTTGAACTGTGTTCCCCCAAAAAGATATGTTTGAGTCCTAACCTCTGGGATCTGAGAATGTGACCTTATCTGGAAATAGGGTCTTTGCGGAAGTAATCAGGTTAAGATGAGGTAATACTGGATTACAGCGGGTCGTAATCCGATGAGTGGTGTCCTCATAAGATGAGGGAAATTTGGACAAATAGAGAGAGAATGTGATGTGCTAACAGCCTAAGAACACAAGGACTGCTGGCAACTGCCAGAAACTGGAAGAGACATGAAACACATTCTCCCTCGGTGCCTCCAGAAGGAACCAGCCCTGATCACACTTTGATTTCAGACTTGTCGTCTCCAGAACTCTGGGACAATCAAGTCCTGTCATCATAAGCCACTCAGTTTGCGGAACATTGTTCAAACAGCCCTAGAAAACTAATACAAAGACTGTCAATAACAATACAAAGATACAGACCTAACTGAATACGTACAATGAGCATAAAACATGATCACAATCAAGTATAGAAATAATTGACATACACATAATAATTTAAAAGGAAAAGACAGTTGGCAAGGAAATCAGTTATAATCTAGAAGAATCATGAAGAATCCTGTAGAAGCCCCTTAACCTGGTTTCATTCATTGCCATTTTAAGATAACACCTACTTTAATTATAATCATGTTTGAAAATGATCTGTGCCTCTCTTTTCATTTTAGGATCCTGGAATGAAAATGATACACAGATTTTTTAAATTATCATGGGCGTCTCTCAGAAGATGGCAGAGATTTTAGACCTGAAGTTAATTTTTTTTTTTACTTAGTTTACTGAATAATTACAATGCAAGAAAATATTGTTGAAAGAATGTATTGTTGCAAGTATCAGTTGTCTGATGACTAGAATCCTAAGAATAATATTCTGTGACTTGTGCCTCTGCTATTTATTCATTAATACAATCACAACTACTTCTGAGTGACTACTGTGGTGTACCTAAAACACCAGCCTCTCCTTGGTGTGAGATGTCGTAGTCAAGAAGGGGGGCGGAGGGATGCAGGAGGAGGGAGGTAAGAAAGGGCTGCTTTAATAAGATTTTCCTAAAGTGTTGTATAGAAGTTGTTTTATGTCAATTGAATCATGAACCAATATACTATACCTATTTTTAAAATGTCTTTCAGTTGAGGGACAGTAAAATAAAAAATCCTTTGAAATGTGGTTATGCAATTCGTATTTTATTTGTTGTTAAATTCATACTTTTGAGATATGGATTTTCTTTAAGAGAGACAAGACTACATTTTAATTAAAACACATCCTTTAAAGGTATTTTATAATTAATTTGAGCAGTAGAGTTGCTTCCTCCTATGTGGTTGAAATATGGGGATTTTTCCTCCCCTAATTACCCAGATAATGGGTTCCAGCCTCCCTTTGATGTGTCATAAAGGCTCACCTGTTTCACTACAACCTGCTATTTATTATCAAACAATTGCAGTTTCCCAAATCCCGAATTTCCAAAGGTGCCATTTATCCAAATCACATGTGTGTCCCCTTTGCACCCATTCTGAAAAAGAATTTTCCTTGATCAAAATTTTAACCCTGATTACCCCCCGGTGCATCAGCCCTTTTATTACCTCGTCCAAATTAAAATCCAGAGGACTACTAGTATGCATACTGTTAAGGCATTTCTCTTAACTGCATCTTAACTAATATGGGTTAGGGTGAGAAAAAAATAGAAATCTTGTGAAAATGAAGCTATATAAGATCAGGAGTTTAAAAAAATAACGTTTAAAATTATCCTATACCTTTTTAGTTGCCTTTTAAGGTTGAATGTCTGGGCTCTCTCCCATTAATACAATGTACATTTTCATATACTTTCAATAAGTAATCTCCCAGAAGCCTATACACGAATCCCAGGCTTCTCTCCCTCCAGAAAGGTCTTTCACTTCACTTTCTCATTTGACCTCTTGAAAGTGATTGAGATAAACTGCACAATGTGCTTGGAACTATATCTAATGTAAAAATGAAAAACTTGCTTCCACAATACTTTGACCAAACAATTTGACTACAACTTCTCCAGGGAGATGCACAACATAAAGATAGTGATAGAGAATGCACTGGGGGGTGTGTCTACAAGATACAGGGGACTAGGGTGGGGCTGGAGAGGAGGAAACAATAGCCTGTAAATTGTGAGAAATAAATCAATGTCCTGCCAGCATGGTGATTATGTAAATAATATATGGAGCGGGGATGTTCTAGGAAACACTCTGAGTGGAACTTACAGACTTCAAAGAATATGAGTTTATGATTCTGAAAGGCAAGAGGAGGAGGGTCCTAGGAATGCCACGGTGGAAGGGAACTCAGTGTGGACAGGGCCTGGCATGCCTGCAGGAAGGAGGCTGACAACATCTGGTAAGAGCAGGGTCTCTCAGTGGACCAAGGGGATTTCATCAGAGACCACGGGAGATTCTCAAATTGGCTGCAAAAGCCGTATGAGAACTTGGAGGGAAACCCATCTGAGTGGTCCTAAAAGGTTCCTACATGACATGAGATAAGAACCCCATGAGCTTTGGAACCACATGGAAGAGCCCAAACTGATCATTAGGGACTATGAGAGGGTCTGAGGTGAGCCATATTCCTGGCTCCAAGGAAGAGATGTGCATAAAAGAGAAACCTTTTGGAGCCCTGCTGATGAGCAGACAGTGTAATGATGTGGGATCTAGGGGATGTTGAGGCCCAGAGACCTTGGGAACTCTAGCAAGTTTGGGGAAATTCGTTCAGTGTTGCTGTCAGGTTTGCTGCCGATCTATTTGGTGTCTTTGTGAGAAACAGAGAAAGTGTCCCTTCTCCCCATCTCTTCTCTGATACTGATACACACAGGAACCAGAGCATGGGCTAGATTTCAGTTCCCACTTGCTCCAGTGGCCAGAGTCCTTTTGCAGGCAACCATCTGCTCAACTGCACACAGAGGCCCTAGATGGATTGAGAATCTCCTTTTGTCTAAAGCTAATTTGTGCCCACA